TCAAGTAAGTCAAACAGACTGGAAAGGTTAAACAGATAATGAAGTCGGAAGAGTTACATGTCTCCGATTCTTTTATGAAGTCATATTCATGAATGGGAGATGTAAAGAATTTGACATTAAGTACTAAACCTGTCAATGAGTCGCAAGAAAACGAACTGTTGCTGCACAAACCTGGACCTCTGGCAAGGTCAGATCCTTTGCCAAGAGTTTCCATGCATCTGCTACTGAGTATCTCAAGGTGTTAACTGCAAGACGCACTTTCATTTTCTGTTTTATGTATAGTACATGGGCTGACTTATGATTGTTGCCAGCATGGACTCCTTTTCCCAGAAAATCCTGCAAAGCCTTCATAAATTGCCACTGATCTTAGCTGGAACAACGAGAAATTGGACTAGTATTGTTAAGAGGAATTCCTGGCTGGTCAAAAGATTTCCGCAGTTTAATTGGCGATAAAATTCAAACCGGATTACTCTCCTGCTGGAAGAGATCTGAATAAAGCTTGAAGCTTCATTTTTTTCAAGCGAAGAAGCTGCTCCTGTGTGGCTGCCACTTTTTCCAGGGAAATAGCGATGGCTGTGTGCGTAGTAGAGATGTGCAACAGTTTGCTGAAAAATGTATTACTGGATGCCCATCATGGCTTTTACTGAAGACCCGATTTCAGTGGATTTTTCCGTTCGATGGCGTTTCAATGCTCGTTGAGGGGGTTTCTTGAGTTTTGGGTCTATTCTCTCCGGATTGAACTATGAATACAAAAATGAGCTATCTCCTAGGTGTATCTTGCCTCATTTAAGCAAGTCGTGATCTTATGAAAGAGCGAATTGAATCGAACAATTGGAAGAATGTATTGACATGCAAAGAAACGATATAAGATATGCAAATATAAAATATAAAACAAGTATTCCCATGTTCTTCGGTAACGACTCACTAAAAATTGATGGTATGGCTTCTTGCTGGCTGGGATATCCTATGTCACCGAGGGAAGACCTCGAGATATGGTAAATTTTGCCATGCGGACCTATCGCCGCTGTGGGGCCTACATAGAGTGCCCACTGTGGTTAAGACTCTCGCAGTCTCACTCGCAGCCAACTTAGGCCAAATATGTTTTGTTGCATGGGCAACTATGATCACTTGACGGTCACATAGGTCGGGTTTAGCCTGTGCATAGGTGTTTTTAGATCCAGAAACTCCGAAACCAGAGCTCAAATTTAAAGAGAGCGGAAAATTGCAGTTTCTTCAGAATAAGAGGATTTCCATGAAAACGGAGTCTGCACCTGATATCTTTTGGAAAAATACTTTTACGTTATACATTTTCAAATGTCAGCGCCTCATCACTCCTGAAAATTTTCACCTACCTTTTCTTGATATAATCACAAGCAGATCATACTTGTATCCATTATTGTCTAGCAAGAAAATGGGTTATCATTTCCGTCGCGCTAAATGCAACACATTTGCAACTCTGGAACTTTGGATTTTTTCCAAACATGAACAATGTTTTTTGTTAACGTTATCATCACTATTCACACTCTCACAGGACATATATCCACTGATAGTACTCCGAGGCTCATCAAATATAAAAATAAGGAGGTGTTGCCGGCAAAACCAAAAAACAATTTTTTAAAAAGAAACTTGAATTAAGCTTTCTGAAAGTGAACTTGGACTCATCCAATTCATTCGATGGGATTTCCATCCAAGACACAAGGCTTGGATGGAAGTTCCACCGTAGGTGATGGTCTGCGGGTTATCGATCATCCAAAGTATGGGAAAATCCTTTCATGGAAAGTCTTTAGAAAGTTTTTACATTTTGCAGCAAATCCCTCCTTATTGTGGGTAGGCAAAAGTTTTTTTTTCTATCCTTAACACGTTGACGACCAGCCTATTTTTGCTTGTCCGCCGCGTGGGACCACGCGCATTTTTTTTTGTCAAAAAATGCGTCCTGCCATCAGGACGCATGGTCCCAGAAAACATTTTTTTTGCCGGTTTTTTTTTAATGTTGAATTTTTTGGAATTTTTATCAGTAATTACGAAATCATAATCTTCTGGAACGTTCTCAACAGTTCCAGAGGGTATTCATTGGAAATGTGGAAGTTTCTCGAAGGTGATAGGAAATTGAAGAATCTTCGAGATCCCTCCGGGCCCAGGGCCTTGTTACTATAAAAACCCTGGGGAAATCGTGATAAGCAATCAGTTTTCCTTCTGACCATGGCTGCCTCCGACGAAGTCGGCGATCTGAATTGGAGCTTCGACGACTTGCTCATCAACAGTGACGACGAAGAGCCTGTGCCCGATGATGATGATGTTCCTGCTGCCCAATCCCTGGTCGTACCTGTACAATACGACTCCGATGATGACTCTGAGTATGAAGAAGAGGATCCAGATAAAGGAGAGGAAGAAGAAACCTGGGTCGAGGATGCCACCACTCACGATCGCTTTGCCTTTACCGAGGAGTGCGGAATTCATGCGGACGTTCAAAGTTGTGAAGTGCCTATCGATTACTTTCAGCTGTTCTTGACGGACGAGTTGCTGAACCTCATTGTGGCAGAGACGAACCGGTACGGTACTAAGAAGATGAGGGACAAGAACAAAGACTGGACCGACACTACCACCGAGGAGATGAGGCAATTTATTGGCATCTGCCTGTACATGGGACTCGTTCGCCTGTCAAAACTTCGGGATTACTGGTCTTCAGACAACTACTACTACAACCCTGCAGTCACAAAAACTATGACCAGACATCGATTTGAGTTGCTGCTGACGAGCCTCCACTTCGCCGACAACGACCTCGTCGACAGGGGAAACCGTCTCTATAAAATGATGCCTGTACTGGACCTGCTGAATTCTTCCTTCCAGAAGATGTGCAAGCCTGCTAAGAGCCTCTGCATTGATAAGTCGATGGTGCCGTTCCGTGGACGAATCGTCTTCAGACAGTTCAACAAATCCAAAAGGCACAAGTACGGCATCAAGCTCTTCAAGCTCTGCTCAAAAGCTCAAAAGCTTTACCTTAGAAGATGAGTCTTTCATGTTCACTTGAATAAAATATTCACCATAAGAGATCTGCATGGACCACAGCAATCATAGATACTACAGAGCCTGTTGATCAATATGTGATCGCTAGATACTCGATATCTGCGCACAAGACGTTTTTTGGAACCTGCATCCTGCCATCAGGACGCATTGTCCCACGTGGCAAAAAATTGCATCCTGGCATCAGGACGCATTGTCGCCAACGTGTTAAATGTAAAGCAAGTTTTCATCTCTATGATGTCTGAACTTCGCCTGTCCACGAATCACCTGTACATTGCAGACAAATTTTGCCTGAAAAAGAAAATCGGGTACAAGAAGTGATAGTGAGGTAACATAGTTTAACCCTTCAAGCGCTAAATTTTGACCCCACCTCCTAAGTGATGTTCGTACGGTGTATGTGAAAACTGCTTGAAGGGAAAGAGGACTTCCCTCGTGTGTAACAACTGAAATGTCTCAAGAAATGTTAAGAATGTAAGAAGTGAACAAAAGTTGCATTGTGCAATAGTTCCGTCCCGATGTTCCAAAGACGAAAACTATGTGTTCGTTTCAGAAATACAAATGCTCGCCATGTGGGATAAAATATGTCTCATTGCAACAAAACATAACAAAACAGAATGAATAATTATTCAAAAGAAGGAAAGGGATAGATAATCTAAACTGAAGTGATGGTAGAGCCTTGAAACGGGATGCATATAATGAGGGAATGTTTGGAATTGGATAACGAATTTCATACGTGCTGATGGAGACAGAGGATATAGAAGCTTGAACCAACGGAGGCTAAAAAATAAACTTGAATGGTTATAAGTGAAGATTTCCCACCAACCCGACACGCAGGGAAATATAAACACCATTCAGAAATCCCCGGAAATCATTGGGTGAAACTTTACCAACAGGAAAAGGACAGTTCTTCGAGGGAGAAGAATATGAGCTCATAGTCCACCATAGCCTAGGCAACACGACTCCAGCGACTAGGTACATTATGATCATGGACTTGCAAAAGGCCTGACAGAGGCCTTGACATGCCGGTGATGAAACGCGTTGTCTCTACTATCAGAACACACACTGAGACAAAAGAGTCACAAAACACGATAATGGAACAATATAATACATAACATCATGAAATGGCATTCCCCTGCCGGTACTTCCAGTCTTCGAAACAGTCGAACGGTATGGCCGCTACATCCAGCACACATACCACGCAGAAAATGAGTTCGACTAAAACGTACACATGATAATTCGTCGGTCCCGATCATGCATGCCCTGAAAATGTCCCCAATCTCCAGAACACCACAGAACGTCTAAAAAGGTGCCACTTCTTACAAAGGCAACATCCAAATGCATGACGCCCATAATAGCCAACAGCCTAGGATATGATTTTTCCGAAAAATTGTCGACATTTTAGAAGATACCGTATTCTTGCATGTCAACGCTTGATTATTGTGAAACGTTCTTTTCAAACAATGTCGTGCAGTGGTTGATTGCAGAGAAAGATATTGCAGTGCACCATTAGGAGTAAGGGTAGTTCTAAGATCTGGAATAACAGCACTAGTGAACATTTTCACGAACATTTCAATGACGGCTTGAGGTCAAATTGATTTCCAGGTCGTTTTGAAAGAGAGTGATATTGCCCACCATCACGTCATCACCTCAGTCATTGTGATTCTTTCTTATTGGGATTTCTTTAGGACAATGTCTAGTGAAACACCCCTCACGAAAATGCAAATCCGAAGGCCTAAATCACATCAATTGTCTTTTAGAGAATCAGCAGGGAGACGCTTACCACTGTTTTAAAAACTTGGGAGAATGTCCTCAAAGGGTTCTGCAAGTCGAAAGCTCTCACATTGAGCAATTATTCCCTATTTCTGCGTGAACAATGCTGTCTTGAACAAACCGATGGGTAATATACCATGGAAAATATAATTTCATCAAAATAGAATTTTCCTTCCAGTAGATCCGATATGGAGTTGCCCAAGGCGAATGGACTGTTACCTTTTTCAGGGCGGTACCCTACCGTTCAACACAATTTGACATCACAATACTCCATTGGGGGATCCGTTCCAGCTCCGTTATGACACCAAGGGCCCTCGTTTCGTCGATCAGGATTCCGACAGAAGTTGTGGGATGGATGGAAATCGTCAGGGAATGCACCAGCTACTTCAAGAAAACTCGTAAGCAAACCGTCGTTTGGTGAGCGGCTCATCCATCGCTGACAAGGGTACCCAGACCTCGTAACATTCTTAGTTCCCATGTACCTATTACCTCTCATGTTATTTTTGCACTCCAAAGGGGCTGGTTTAAGGAAAAGAAACAATATTTTAGTGCAATCAGCAAGTAGGAGAGACAAAAAAAAGATGTAATCTTGTTCCACGTCAGCAGAGAGAATGCGTCTGACACGAAGCAATTAAATTCAAAAAGGCAGAAAAGAAAATCAACACTCACCCATGCAATTTCCTGACACTCGAATGTTGCAACTCTCTCCTTCTGGCCTTGGACAATAGGGAACATCGCAAAACTCCCAGTTTGTCTCGTTCTTGGATTCAAAGAAACACCATGGACCGTGTGGTCTGCCGTTTGGATTACGACAGAAGTTGTGACTCCCGTCAACTTCATCTGAAAATCCAGATAAGGCTGTCTGCATCACAAGTTGACTTGCGGAAAATGCAGGCAGCCAATGTTGGCATGGGTATCCCGATAGGGTCGTATTCCGTCTTCCTGCATATTCGCCGCCGATTCCCGTCAACTTGCATTCGTGCGGATCTGAAAAAAAAAGAAAAAATGTATTATAGCTGTGAAGCAGAAGTTTTTATAGCGATTAGATAAATGAACGCACAGAGTTCATGACAGAATGGAATGTCACAGTATTCCCACTCGATTCCTGGGTCTGAGACGAAGCACCACGGCCTTTCTCGATACAGAGTAGGATTCCGACAGTAATTCCTGTGGACAGCTGAGGCTCCATTCAGGAAATGCTCCTCATAGCCCGTTTCCTGATTGAAGAAATCCCAAGGCATTCCATATGGCTGAGATGCCCAATCGAGACAAGGCTTTCCCGTCTCGGTCACATCCTTCGTCCCCACGTATTCCTTTCCTTTCTCCGTCAGTCTGCATTCGGGATACACGTTCCCCTCGTCTCCGGCTGTAGTTTCTCGGATCTCGCAGAAGGGAATGTCACAATATTCATATTCGGGATCTTTCCCTTCCCCGTTGAAACACCAGGGAGCAGCTTTTCCATCGGGGTTGCGGCAGAAGTTGTGCTGCTCGTCGATCTCTTCGTAATCCGGGAATCCGGGAAGTTTTTCCTTCACGATTCTTTCAGCGCTGATTTGAGGTTCTGAATTTCTCCAAGGTTGGCATGTTTTCCCCGAATGGGTCACGCTCTTCCTTCCAATGTATTCACCGCCCTGTTGAGTCATCTTGCATTCTGGGGGATCTGTTCACGAACGACGAGACTTCGCATTAGCGACTTCTCTCTTCTCGACAGAATGCATTATAATGATGTTGCAAAAATCGAATGTTCTTTTTCAAGTAAGTGTACGTTTTAGCTTTAAAAGGTTCTGCGTTTCCAATGGTGTACTCAATATGAAAACTATTGTATTATTAAGATTACATGCTATAAAGACTCACACGTTACTCTTTTTTAGTCATTTGACTGCTAAAAGTGAGTAACAAAACCTCTATGCTTCTCATAACTTAAATTTTGGGCTTTCAAGAGGTACCACATTGCCTTTCGCGTTGAGTCTTCCTTGTCCATGCATTTGCTCGCCAAAGTGTCCGTTAAGATGTTAAAGCAAAACTGCCTTCCTTTTTGGGCATATTACCATTAAATACTGTCTTTTCATTCAACCCCCGCGAAAGAGGCTGAGGTTATAGTCTTTAAATATTGTTAAAGCAATACGTCATTGGCATGAAAAGAATTCCCATCGCTGCTGGCTGTGTGATCAATGTTTAGAAAAGGACATATTATGAATAAATCAAAGTTCCACCTGGAACCATTTTCAAAGAAAATTAGGCTGATCAATATGCATCGTAGCTTCTCTTAATTTTCCAAGGAAAATTGGCATGCTCCCCACCATTCCAACACGGAATCGTTCCACACAAATTGTAAGCTTCAACTGCGTGGAGTTCCGAAAAACACAGCATTTCGGTTTCTGAAGGAGTCATTTGTTTTTTATTTTAATTCCTTCCACACCCACCCTTGGTGATGGTTTTTCTTTAGGATTCACGCCTACATTCATATCGTTCTTTCTCATGTCTTTTTAAATTTATTGCTAGCCATTTAGGATGAGATCATGTGATGAGAGGAGACTAAGTTGGTGGCTATTGTATGAAACACCATGTGGATATACATTGGACGTGATTCTTACTGATGATGAAAGCTGGGAACCATTACATCCAAGGAGTATGCTCACGTCACACCTCCAGATAGTTCGAGGTCATGTTCCATATTCCGAACAGGAAGCCAATTAGGGGGTTAGGCTAACGATTAACGTTATTGAGCCCCATAGAGAAAATTTGCGGTTAATTAATGAGAACGTCTTTAAAATATGGTTTTTAAACTACTACATTAACGTAGTGCATTTTTTTAATGAGAGATTTTTATTATTATGGCTTAGGGTACAAAACTCATTGCTATATCTTCTACCACGTGCAAAGACTCATAGAGCATATTTCCTCACAAAGCAGCACGTGATTGCATCATAGTGAAGAGGAAGATGGAACGACTATGAAAAAGTTACCTGAATCCTTGCACATGGGGATATCACAAAATTCCCATTCAACATTTTCGTCCGCGACGAAACACCATGGCCTCTCCTTTCCTGACGGGTTCCGGCAGTAGTTCTGGTGAGGCCATGCATCCAAGTTGGGGAAATGGGCATTATAAGTGACATTTTCGAAAAAGTCACTGGGGATTCCGTAGGGCTGGGTGTCCCATCTCAGGCATTCCCTTCCCGTTTCCGTCTGGCTCGCCCTTCCAATGTATTCTCTTCCCTTCTCTGTCAACCGGCATTCAGGATACTTAGTCAGATCCTCACCTGCGAATAAAAAAACCATCCGACTCGTGCTTCGCAGTAACAATGGTCCTAAGGATTTTCACGATTTAACAGGACTTAAAAATTCTGTGGATACTGATTTCCTATTTCGGCCCTGCTCTGTCTAAAATCATCTGATGTGTCACAGAGATACCTAATGGATTTCCCAAACTTTAATAAATCCGTATCCGTAGAAATCCGCTCAAGAATCAAAGGTTGTTTTCTCACAGTAGACGCCATCTCCTCGGAAGGAGTTGTCCCAAGCATCGGGAAACGTGGACGAGCATTGAGACGTGTGAATGGATGAACCATCGGAGAATCCGTTGAGATCACGACAGCGAAACATCACCATCGCTCCTACCGGCGCTGGATTTTCTCCATTCCAACCTTCGAAGGACACTCTCGCATTTTCGATCGGTGGGTATGGGGTCAAGCACATCCCTGTGTTTGAGGAGTACTACGACTATATCATCAGCTGTATATTTTCTGCCACATAATATATCTTATGCATTTTTTACACTCACACTGCACGAATGAGGTGTATCCGATGTCTTCACTTAGGCTGCTCCTCCCGTCGAAAACCAGCTGGCACGATCCCCCTTCTTCCCGATAATTGAAGGCATAGCAAGGGAGGTCCCCCTTCACGCATTCTATGCTGCACCTTCCTAGTGTTATTGCAGTGAATTCAGACGCGATATTGTCGTGTCGCTGCCCGGCATGTGCAACATGATAGCGGATGAAATTCGTCGAGGCTGCGTCTTGTAAGAAGAGAATTAATACTTGCAGGATGGTCACTCGGTCGAGCCAATGGGAGCGGAAATCTTGCGTGGCCATGGCAATCGGTCCACGAGAAGAATCGGAACGAGCCAGTTGGCTTTTGGGAACACTAGAAGTTCCCTCATCTTCGTCTGGTATCGATTTCAATTTCAGCCAATGTGGGTCAACGTTGCATTCCAATGCGATTTCATGTGTATGGGTATCCTAGGAAACACTTTTGCGTCTTGGGGATTTCTCATGGCAATATTGATTATGATAAATAATAAATGTTGCAAATTCCAATCTGATTTATTGCATGAAACGACCTTTTCTTCGAGGCATAGTGCCCCTGCCTACCCACTATATATTGCAGTTGTGCAGAATCCAAATTCCAAATTTGATAATAATTGACATGTATGTTTTAAACATCATTCCATTCATTCCTCCTTCTTCCATACAGGCTTTTGATGACATCTTTTGATGATTCGTTTCTCATCTGGAGTGAAAGAAGCGCAAAGAAACAAACATCTCCAGGGTTTTCCAACTTCTAAGTTTCTATTTATTGTTCCATCTCATTTGATCGGAATGAGAATTTCGCGGATCTTCTCGAAAGCGCGGTATAAATTGTCCTACGCACTCCGCAAGCTCTCAATCTATTGGTGGCAATAACTTTCTTATCGATCAACCGTATGAGATATCCTCGTGCGTCATTGACAGACCTGATGAAATGGATGAATAAAAAATTCATGTTAATATATTTTTCTCTGGCGATTAATGAGCGTGTCCGTTTTTCCATGATGCATGAGTAAGTAATCGCCATTCTCATATTTTCCCCCAAAATCCACACTTTAGCTGGGTCCAGCATATGTGGTTACAAGATAATTGTAAAATAACATGGAAGGGTATAGCGCCCCTTACACACCTGTAGCGTTTCCACGCCTTAAAATTTAACCTCATGTCTTCGTAATATTCCACGGTGGCACAAAAAATTTAAAAGGAAAATCGGGTTCCCACATCATTGGCTAAGTGAGAAACAGTCTCCGGCCACCAGTGACAGTCTCTTACACAGCCGATGTTACGGGAATCCCCTTTTTTTTTGCTTTTCCACCGTAGTAGAATAGTTGGAGACGCCCGAGAAGAATTCCTCTGAAAGGATAGTCTATAGTTGTCAAAACATTGCTACTGTCTCGTCTATACGATTCCTATATATATTCCAATAGAATTCCTACAGGACTTTTTCGCTCGGGAACCCAGTCAACGCCTGGAAAGGAGGTTCCCTCTATCGACCGAGCCGAAGGAATGGAGAGAATCCCATCGAACCATCAATAAGTAAAATGCAATACTGCGAATGTTCTGCGCCTCCTTTTCGTCCAGCTCGCCGTTCCCCGCACGGGGAGACGTCATTGGGCTTCATCAAGGCTAAAAATTTGTTACTTTTTTTTCTGTTTCCTTTGTTCATAAAAGGGCGGGGAACATTTCATGCCCGATTTCCAGTTGTTCCATGACATTTTCCTTCCAGATCAAGTGAAAGAAGTTTCAGTAGTTTAAAAGTTCCAAAACTATCGTCATCTATGTCTCTTTTGTGCATCTCCGTTTCCAGATGAGAAAATTATTAATTATAGGAATGAAAAATGTATCGTTATTTCTTGCTGGATGATCGAGTCCCATCGAATTTTTTGCGAATGAATGCGAGAGATGCAGACTTGTGCAAATATCAGAGAGAAATATTGTAAGCAGATATACGCCTTGAAAAGAAGGCTCCAAATACCACAGCTCCAAACTGGTAATACTTCTGCCCATATTTATTTCAGACTTTAATTATGTACGTTTTCGCAAGAAGTTATGTATATAACGTTTACTTTATTTTATTCGATTAGGTTATTCCACTCAGTTTCATATTTGTTTTGGTACGCATAGTTTTCTACCAGGAGTCTGTTGTGCTGGTGGAGCGATTTATCAGCCTTTTATCAGAGTCAGCTGAATATATTTTCTTACAGAGATTGCGGGGGGGGGGGGGAAATTAATTATGGAATTGATTACTCTCCCCATTAATTATGGAATAATGCAGACCCGGTTTTCAAGGAAATGTTCACAAACACGAAAACGTCGAGTTTTCCTTCAAAACTTCTCAGAATGAAAAATGATGAGTCGTTTGGAACAGATTAAGTAGCAACTTCACTTTAATTACTTTCCTTCGAGGAGCAGAAAATGAAATTTCAATTCACATTTCCAATTTTCACTCCTAAAGAGCGACTAGGCTTCTACTATGACGAAAAGGGTTAACAGATGAACTGGTACTCGGAAAAGGTCAAACCACCCTGAAGACAACGTACTTTTTTTTCCATATGAAAAACTTTTGCAAACGACATCGTGCCGTTTCCGAGGGCAAGTTAGCCAGAAACACATCGAGCGACGCATTGCGAATAGAATATTTATCGTGCCGGAAGTCTCACGAAAAAACAACGGTATGTGACGAAAAGTGCTTGCGCCTTACGTGCAAGTTCGCGATACACGATTAGCTCTCAGATTTGCATATACAAGGTGTGACAATAAAGTTCCCCGAATGTCCCTGTCGAAACGGTGTCTGTATATATGCATGCTAATGCCTGTTGTCGCCCTCGAAATAACAAGAAGAATGGAATTTCCATGGGCAGCGATACGCTTAGGCCGATGATGTTGCCACTGCTGAAAACATTGCTGGAACTCCTCCTTAGAAATACCATCTAGGGTCGCCGTCACCTTTTTTTAAATGCATGCTGCAAAGGATGGTCGACCCGCTTCCGCTGTGACACGACCTCCTTTCGCTGCGGACGACGGCAGGGTCTAACGAGCAGACGTCTCCTTCACTCAGCCTGCAGTAAGGGCAACTCAAGTTGAAACGCGCAGCCTGTAACATGGACGGATCCGGCTACCTCCACGACCGACGGGCCGAGCGACCTTTCAGGCGCAGCTTCCATCCATGATCTTCCGCCTTAGTTTTTCAGCATCCGTTCTACGTTTCCATCCCGACCCCGATCTTGGATCGTTATCGTTCAAAAGTGCGATCAGTAAATACGGAAGTTAAAACCGTCGACATCCGGTTCTCCTGCGGACACGTGCCGCACGACATGTGGCCACCACCCGTCATGTGGCCACCACCCGATCGATGACCGGCGCTAATCGCATCGTACACGTCCCTCGCACTCCAAAGCCCCTGCTCCAGACTCACTTAAGCCCTGGGGGGTAGCACCCCAAGTGAACGACTTTGCTCCTGGACCAGATCTGTCCGCGAATCCCGTCCTCATCCGCTGTGATGAGGATGTCACCCGCTTCGTACGATTCAAATGCTCGATCCACGTCGGACGTCGAGGATGTCGGCCGAATTTTTGACCGCGTCGGTCGCCGCCAACAGTCTCGACCACACGGCGATGCGACGAGGGTCCGTCTGGCATCGGACGACATGCGATGACGCATCTCGTGATGCGTCATCCGATCCGACCCGATGACGCATCTCGTGACGCGTGTCGCCGTCGGCGGAAGGAGCTGTGGAAGCTGAGGGATCCCTTCTTCCCTCGCTCTGCCTGCACTTCAAGAGATTCCATGTGCGAGGTCGCTTCTAGATGGCGATTACGCGTCCGGAACTTCGCTCAACAAATCTTGCTATTTTGGTTCCCGTTGTAAAAAAAAGTAGATGAGACCCCCCCCCTCCTCCCCCCCCCTCTCCCCCCCTCTCTCCACCCTCTCTCCCCCTTCTCTCCCCCTTCCAGGCTGCCACCTGTCGCCTGAGCGACGAAGACACGAGTGGTCTCTCCCAAGGAAGATGTCGCGCGTGGTGAGGAAAACTTGCCGGCGAATCCTCATCTTCAAAAACCAGATGAGTCATGAAACCGAGCATGATCTTCCTTTCCTTCGAGAATTGATTTCGAGTCGGCGGGATGATCGTGTCGTCCCCGTGGGAATTGGAGGACTTTGGGAGGACGCTTATATTTCCTAAAGCCATGATCTTCAATGGGGAAATCATAACCCGGTTCCCCTTGGGAGCTCTGTGAACGTTTCCACGAGATGATGAGTTTTCCAGGGTGGACTAAAAAATAGAAGGCCTGGGATATCTGTGAATAGAAGGCCTGGGATATCTGTGGGAAGAAATGCCTTTGATACCCCTTCACATACGGAAAGAGTAATTTGTCAGTGGGTAAAAAAGGGAGAAGCGGATCCCAGACGGAGATACGTGCCGTATCTTTAATTGCCCTTTGTTGTCTCAAGGGCGAATCGATCCGCCGGGTGGGTGAACTGGAACTGGGTGGACGAGCCAGGTGGAAGCACCTCAAAGTTCATTTCATTATTTTGTGAACCGTGTTTTAAACAGAAGGCTTCGATGAGTGGCACGATGGCTTTGGCTTGGCACGATGGCCTTGGGCAGGCACGATGGCCTTGGGCAGGCACGATGGCCTTGGGCAGGCACGATGGCCTTGGCTTGGCAGGATGGCATTCGGTTGGCACGGTGGCCTTGGCTTGGCACGATAGTATTCGGTTGGCACGGCGCCAAATTTTCAGTCGAGGCAGGATTTCGCTAAAATCGGACAGAATTTTTTTATGGACGAGATGTTTTCATCCCGATTTCGTGCGTTCCGACGGAGGGAGTCTAGCGAAAACGGGGATATCTCCTGGCTTAGTGCCAAAATGACCATGATCTGTCTCATATCCCGGATGTAAGCCGCCTTAAACACAGCTTTGATCCAAATGTCCAAAATCGGGGATCATCGAAGAACTTTAAAACTAAAAGCCGAATTTAATTGGAATTCCATATATTTTGGTTAGAATTTTTTTAAATCCAATTTAAATATAGTAAAA